CACATGAGAAGAACTAATATGAACTATTTAGGGTGGGGGAGGGGTGGGGTCTGTAGAGAGAACAGCTGTCTCCGACTACTGATCTCTGTAATATCCCATATCCCCATCGGTCTTCACAAACTGAGGTATGATAAAAATAAGGGAGACAACCCAAATTCCAGCCTAACTGCTGAAATACCGATCACTCTCTGCGTATTCGACTCACGGTTTAGGAATGACCCAGTGACCTAAATACTACTCAGCTCAATATTAGCTCGCGCTGACTACTAACTGATGAGCGAGAACCGAGACCAGTCATCCGCATCGCTCGCCTACACACCGTACAAGCAGGTGCTGGGCAGAATTTCATAGTTTTTCCGCTGAGTTTATTTTTTAAATTGGATTACTGTATGTGTAACATGTGATGACATTAGTGTGATTTATCGATTCTTTCATTGTTAGCTTATAAAGGTAATCTGTTCAACTAGTTTAATCTTCATGTTACTATCCCAGTATACTTTACTAATATAGCTTTAGGTAAAAGGCTTTTTTTGTTTTGATTTTCTCGTATACGAAGTTTAAAGAAAATGCCGTCATTGTGCAAAAAAAAAATAATAATTAAATTAATAAATAACTACATCGAGATGTTATCCAATCGCGAATTTTTAATCTCCTTGAGTCGGATAAACCTAATTTTGCAAATTTGTCTGTGTATATGTCTGTTTGTGAACACGGTAACTAGAGTACCGTTTCAGTTGTGTTGAAGAAATTTTATACAGGCCGATAAATATTTTTTTCAAATTTTGAAAGATTTCCGGTAACCGGAAGTGGTACTTTGTTTCCTAGGGAACTAGATAACTTGAGTGCTGTTTCATGTAAGTATAGCATATTATGCTTAAATTACTTTCAAATTTTAAAGTAACCGCCAATATCGATGAGTGGTTGTTTACTCTATTCCTGATTTATAAAATACCGATAACTTGAGTACCGTTTCAGGTAAAAAAAAATTTCCCTTTCAAACCTGGCAGTCTATGGGGCAAGTGAAGTAGAGTTCACTTGTTTCTGTGACATCGGCATATGAAGAGTTAGTGTGGTCAGCACTATGCCCAGCCGCCTTTACTTCCCCTAACGTGAGTTAGGTACCCATCAGAGTTGGGTGGACTCAGGTACAGAGTTTCTTCCAGGCATCTCTTCGGGGGGGGGGGGGGGGGGGGGCGAAGCCCCCCCGAAAAAATTTTACCGCCCCCCCGAACGAAATGAAATTTATATAATTTATATAGAAAATATATACTTTTAACAGTGTCCGCCCCCCCCCCCCCGGAAGAAAGTTTACCGCCCCCCCCGAAGATTTCAAGTGCCCCCCCCTGGAGAAAAAAGTCTGGAAGAAACACTGCTCAGGTACGGTCTACTGACTTGAACCCGGATTCGAACTCGAGACTTACGGGTTATCATTCCAGCTCTCTATCGATAGACCACTCCGTCCCACCGTTTCAGGTAGGTAGACGAAATTACACACAAAGGTATGAGATCTTATTCACTAGTTTCTGTGAAATTTCGATTGATTTGTCGTGAAGTAGTAGGCCTACTACAGGCTAAAAAAAATATCTTTGAATAGTATTTATCTTGATATATCTTGATATATCTGTCACTCTTCCGTCATCGGCGGAAAATTTCTGTTTTAAAATATTTGCAAGAAAATGTTGATACGTTTGTTATGCATTTTGATTTTTATACAAAATTAGTCTTTTTAACTGCTTTAAATGTTTTTGAATTAAGATGTAGGCCTAGTCAGTTTTTTTAATCGATAATATCAACTCCAAAAAGAGAAGAAAAAAGAAACCAGAGTTATTATAGCACTGACTAGTAGGCCCATATGTGTAGCTTAGTCATTATTTGATATGAACCACTTTGCAAGTATCTGAAATGAACAACTTAACAACTATTTCAAATAAACCACTTAACTATATTAATTTTTAACGACATGGGCATTTAACATGTTTAAACCCCCACCCTATATCCCATGGGGACTATTCCAAATCCTGCTCTATGAAAAGCAGTCTTTAAAACACATTACAATTTTGCATTGATGCAGCCCAGCCACACTCGATTACAACGCCTTATATTTTAACATGTTATGAATCATATTTCCGAACTGAACGTCGAGTTAAACGGGTCGACGATTAGTTTATTATTATTTTTGTATTCATATCTCGTCTCACGAGAGTAGCCATTGTCCACCCCCGCGCTGCGATTTTCTAAACGTTGCTATGGCAACGGCACATGCGAATGGTTGTGGCTTCGTACCGGTCAGTGCTCGGTGTATCGAATGCCACTGTTAGTGTGCTAGCTATTACTGTCACGTTTGTCAGTGTGACAGCTAACACTATGCCAACATAGTATCCACTGGCATGAAATTTGTGTGTTTTACTGGTGTTCTATAAAACGTATTCTCACTGAAGGTCCACACCGTTGGTCTGTTTTTGGAATACGGACGTCCTAGACATCCAAATAACAAAAGAACATGAGTCACAAAATATAATGAAACATCAAACCACAAACGTGCATCCAATGATACATTGATAGGGCCTGCTTACTTTATATTAGCAGTAGGCCTACAATCTAAAGAAGAAAGGATAACCACATCAACATACCAAAACACAAACATATAATCCTAATTTTTTTTATTGCAAAGCCTCGTGTATTTATACCACAGATGGGAGTAGGGATGGTTTATAGTTTTCTTGTATTTACGGCAAAGGGGGGGGGGGGACGTTAGATGCAGGAATAGAGCAATAGCAGATACCTCATTCCATCTTTGGGACGTAATGGTCTAGTGGCAGAGAGCGAGACTGCTAAAACGTAAGTCATGAGTTCGAATCCAGGTTCGTCAGTAGACCGTCTCTGAGCCCTAGCAGCTGTGACAGGTATTTAGCTCATGTTAGGGAAAGCAAAGATAACTAGGCATAGTGCTGACCACCCTATCCCTTTATATGCCGAGGTAACAGAAACAGGTGGACTCCACTTCTTCCATAGACCGTCAATTTTGTATGGGGTGCTTTACTTTTACATTTATGTTTATATTCCATCTTTGAATACAATAAAAGCCTTAAAATTGTTTCTAATGTAATGTTATTCTCGTAATAAAGTAAATTGATTTTTGTAACTAAATAAAAAGGAAACAATTAAAGCATTAATTATAATGTAGTAACCCAAAGCAATTTTTACATCCATCAGACTGACATAAATGTATATACGAGTCTCTTAAGTTCTAATGTTACATGGTGATTTTATTCTGTTTGGTATCACTTCAATCAACAATATCTGCATAGAAAGTGGGACTATCTTTAGATCTTGTACCTTTCAATAAGAAACATGAATTGTTCAGTCTTAGCAGCTGTTATACATTCGTGAACCCCGTTGATTAATTGTTTATATATTATTTAAAAGAAAACATGATACCCTGTCACTTAATCCCCGAGGTTTTATGCCCGACACTCAATCCCTGATACTTAATCCCTTTAAAATTTAATCCCCAGAAGAATAATCCCTAGACTCTTAATCCTTAATATGAAATAACTAGAAAAATGATAATAACATCAACCCCGCTCTGATTTTCGTGAAGGAAAGTAAATGCGGCTGGGCATAGTGCTGACCACACCATCCTTTCATATGCCGAGGTTGAGAAACATTTGAACTCTACTTCGTCTGCCCAATGTATTGCTAGGTCTAAAGATGAATCTTTACTTATTTTATACGGAGTAAAACGCATTCAAAATCATAAAATACATTTTTTATGACCTAACATAGCGTACAATAAAATTTTTAGCTGCTTTGAATTACTGTAAAAAGCAATAAAACAACAAAAAAATAATCTAAAAGTAGAGTCATATAATAAAAATATTTAAAAATGAACAAGGCAAATAAAATGTCGTAAAAAGAGTCACACACAAGAAAATGGAAAAAAAAAAGTTGGGCAGCTAAAAATTGCGTCCTCAGAATATTGCTCCAGCTGATTCATGCACAAATTAAAAAATGCGGTTTTTTCATCCTCCACCCGGCATATCGCCCTAAGCTTTATTTTGTATATTTCCAGCATGTGATATCCCATCCATCTCTTATGTTAATTTGACACCTTTTTTCATACTATATTTTTTATATGAATCGATTTGATCTGGTTGAGATGTTGAATTTAACAATTATAACTTGTTTTTACAGGTCAAATAAATGAATTGTTGAGGGTCAACTAGATGGTTTAATCTTGTGACTGGTATCGATAAAGTTCAATATATCAAAGAAATCTATAAACTAATAAAATCAAATACATCTAATAAAATACAATAAAAGGTAGTCGGAGTGTACGAAAATGAGCACAGATTTCATCGACGATGTCAGAAATTTTTTTAAGAAAAGGAAAGAGAATGAGACGGATGATGACGATGATTCGTAAGTACATAGAATAGCTTTATATATATATATATATATATATATATATATATATATATATATATATATATATATATATATATATATATATATATATATATATATATATATAAGAAACATACTCACCATACTACATTACACAAATATATGCGTAAAATTTACGAAAATGTGTAATCCATATATATATATATATATATATATATATATATATATATATATATATATATATATATATATATATATATATATATATATATATATATATATATATATATATATATGTATATATATATATATATATATATATATATATATATATATATATATACGTAATGTATATTATTCCATCATGCCAACTAATCAATTTTCCCCAGGCATTGTGTCTCCGACATCAACCACTACGCTTTCTACTCATATTCTATCATACCAGCGGTAAGCTTAGTTAAATTTTCTTTTTATTTCTATTGGGTTAATTATGGTTTTTTTGTTGGTGGATCATGGGGTTTTCTCGCGTTTCCTTGTGGGTGGAGATTGGTTTTTTTTCTGGGTGGAGCCTATCATTGTCTTCTTGGTGGAGAATGGATGTTGTTAAGTGGATTGAGTATGGGGTTTTCTTGTTGGTGGAACCTGGGATTGTTAAGTGAGTGGAGCCTAAAATTGTCATGTGGGTGGAGGAAGGGGTTGTCTCCTGTGTCGATGAAGTGGTTGTCTTGTGGTTGGGACATGGGATTGTCAAGTGGGTGGAGTATATAACAGTCTTGTGGGAGGAGCAGGGTGTTGTCTTGTAATGTGACCTCACGTTTATGTCAATGTGACCTCACGTTTATGTCAATGTGACCTCACGTTTATGTCAATGTGACCTCACGTTTATGTCAATGTGACCTCACCTGTCAATGTGACTTCACCTGTCAATGTGACCTCACCTGTCAATGTGACCTCACCTGTCAATTTGACGTCACGTTTCTGCCCCTCCCCAGGTTGTCCTGACCCTACTCATGGCCGCCACCAAAAGACGCAGACAGAAACTTCTAGACGTTCTAACTGGCCGGCCTGGTCTAGTCTAGTGAGTCCTGTATATATTTACATCTGGTTGTCTGGAACTTTTGCACCCATCCTCTATTTTATTGCTTTATACATTAACACACAAACCAACGAACACAATGTTTATGTGTATGTACTACTGTAAGTTACTTACAAAGAGTAGACCAAAATTGAATTCAAGTAATCAACAAATACAAATACAACATTGGAGAAACACTAAACATCAGCTTTAAAAAAAAAAGATAATAAAAACCAATTGCTGTCAATGCTAAACTTTTGAAAGCAGGAAGTTTAAAAAATGTAATGTATACCGTAACTTCTTCTATCAAGAATGTAAAAATACCCAACACTCTAAAAAAAAAAACGTTTTAACAGCTTGGTTAAAAAAATCTCCAAATTTCGACGTCTTGAAAAAAAAACCGCTTAAAAATAACAAATTTTACCATCCTGATTTTTTTAAAACTTCATTCGCTACCCACTTCAGCTTCACCTGGTATGCGCATTAGATCGCACGTGCTAAGGCCACAAAGTTGAATTTGTTGGTGGGGTTTTTCTATATTTTGTCGACATCATGAATTAAAAGTTAAGACTCTCTTACCACAGAATTTTTGTCTTTTTTTTAAATCTTAACCGAGGTATTTGTTGGAAATTTTTTAATTGTTTGAAAATCATTTCGATTCGGAGTGGTTGGTAAGGTAAGAGCATGGTTGCTGAAACCGAAAGTTCAAAGTTCAAACCTTCAGCAGAAGTGGCTTGTTACCTAGGGAACAGCAACTAATTTAGGAGAAAACAAATCCAAAATTAAAACAGGAATGGAGACTTTTAGGCCATGGGATTACCAACTCTGATTTTATTTCGCCAACTCCTGCTGTACAGGTAACGCCCTGTCCCTTGGGTCCAGTAGCGTACGCAGGGGGGGGGGGAGCAGGGGGGGGGGCGGCCGGTTGGATAATTGACCTAAAGTGAACGGACAGTGGTGAATGAAGTTGAACCCACCCACCCAGACTCACCCCGCACTGATCTGTTAAGTGCATGTAGAAAAACGCGTAATGATGTGCCAAAGTACCATGCCGCCATAAATTTAGCTTTTTAAACGTAAAACTCTGTAAATATTGTTTTTGCAATTACCAGTAAAAAGGTGTGTGATCAATACAGTGATCTAACCCATACCTATCACTATGTTAAAAAATGATCTTTAAAGAACACAAAGAAGCCGTAGTTAATTAAAATATATGAACTGATCTAAAAGACCGATATTTAGTTGAATGTAGGCGGTTACTCTGGATGCAGTTCTATTCAATTGAAAAGCGTGGTTTTATACCAACTATATTTTTAAAAATTTCATTATGCTGTAATACTTTAGCATTTATGGTGACGATATATTAAATTCTGATTATAGACAAAAAAATTTTGTAAACACGAATAGCGTTAAACAATTTCAATATATTCTAAAGTAATTATTTATTTGTTTTGACATTTATAATTAAATGTGTAGATATGTACACATTTATATTAAGAGAGTGATTATTTCCCCTATTTCACTTGTCTTTTAAGTAATTTCCCAGGAATTATTATGTAAGAATTTTTTTTACAAGAATTCTAGAACAGTTTGTGTTACGTTAATTGTTTTTGGTTGTAGTGTATATATATATATGTATATATATATATATATATATATATATATATATATATATATATATATATATATATATATATATATATATATATATATACATATATATATATATATATATACATATATATATATATATATGTACATATATACATACATATATATATATATATATATATATATATATATATATATATATATATATATACATATATATATATATATATATATATATATATATATATATATATATATATATATATATATATATATATATATATATATAATATAGAACGTGTATATAGAACGTGTTAAAAATTCGGCGCCTTTTTTTTGCTCTATTTGCTCCCCCTACAACGAAAGCCTGGATACGCCTCTGCTTGGGTCCATCAGCTGTGTGGAGAGAGGGGGGCCTAATTCATGGGCAACATCAGGCTTCTCTCAACTTAGGCTCCAGGCTTGGTGCTTAGGTTATAATTTACAATCATCCAATGGTTTATTAACTTTTATAGAGCAGTTGTATAAGGGTTCAAAGAGGTTTAGGCGTGTTTATATTTTTATAACGTAGAACATTCAGACCCACCTCTACAAATTAAGAATTTTTATTTAAGACTCCGCAAATCTCCATAACTTAAATTATTTCATATTTATAGAACCTTCTCACTATTTTAACACACACGCACACAAAAAACATATACAGACACAAACACTCGAACACAGAACTTTTGACTATAAAAATTTATTAAAAAAAACGAGTCACGTCATAATTTCCGACATCTAAGAACTGCCACACAAGTCGTACTCGTGTATTGAAATAAGAAGCTGAAGTTACGTCAGCTTATGTAACCAGCGAAATCAAGCCCAAAAGAGCAGATTATTCGCAACAAGTAAGTGTCAAGAAAATCAAATTCACTGTTGTTCAACGTTGCTCTACTCCATACCACCCTACACCGAATAACACCATTTAAGCCATGGCTTGCTGTGTTTAAAACTCTCACAGCCACCTACCATCATGTGCAATGCTTGCGTTGCTTGATCTACAGCGTCTCTTCTATCCGAAAAAAGATCAATAGTCCAAACCTTCATGATAAGGCTGCAGAGATTGCGCGAGCCGACTCACACAGTTTCTTTCGGGCGTCTCTAGAGGGGAGCTCCCCCCCCCCCCCACACACTCTACCCACATATACTCTCCCCTCCACACTCTCCCCTCCACACTCTCCCCTCCACAATTTCCCTCCACACTATCTTCCCTTAAACGCTGCTCCCCTACCTACTTGAGTGAGCACGGACCCACACCCGCACGAAAAAACAAAAAATTATTTATATATTAAAACTAGCCGTCCCGGCCAGGCCCTGCACTGGCCTCTGTTGAAAACCTATCTGCAAAGGACCATGACATGCGTGCTTAGTAATCAGCGTATAACCGGCATTGCCCACCCTAACCACAACCAACCAAAACCAAAACACACACACACACAAAACCCTAACATAACACAAACGCGGATATAAATACAAACACAAACGAAAACACAAATGCAAACACAAACTCAACCATAAACGCAAACACAATCACAAAAACAAAGAAAACACAAACACAAACACAAACGCAAACAAAAAAGCAAACGAAAACAAATCAAATCCAACCGCACACACAAACCCAACCACAACACAGAGAAAACACAAAAGCAAACGAAAACGCAAAGTGCTCACAATCTAGCCCAAGGCACCATGCTGCGGCGCAGTAATTGCTAAGCTTTCATTCATTATTTTGATATATGTCCTGAAAAAACCGCCAGTTTCTGTCTGTTTGAACAGCCCAATGGACACACTGACCAGGTCAGCTAGGTTGTCTTACTGCTGTGCTTTTGGTGCTACAGCTTTCCTTGTCTACGCCATCTTGTTGGAGAGGAAATTTGCTATCGAGTACAATGGACCAATATCATTAAAATGTATGTATTTATATATGTAGAAAATGTATGTATGTATGTATATATATATATATATATATATATATATATATATATATATATATATATATATATATATATACATATATATATATAAGATTATTTTCTTCATCATACATATACATATATATATATATGATGGTGAAGAAAAACATTTTTTTTTAAATGTGCTCACGCGAAACATTTATATAAAACACATGCTTTCCCTCCCCACAGCTCTGATAGCCGTGCTGTCGATGTTCATGTACGGCATGACGTTCTTCCCCGTGTTCGCTTCACTGGCGCTGGGCACGGCGTTCTCCTACAGCCTGGGTTCCTTGTACGTCTGGATGTTTCTGGCACTGGAGATCTACAAGGTCGCAGAGTGCCAGATGGATGGTGTAAGAACCGTTAGGGCTTGTCTGGTTGTATAGGGACAAGGCTAGGGTTGGGTGTGCGGTTAATGTTTGGTGCAGGTTAAGGTGTAGGATTAGCATTAGGAGCAGACCTAGAGTTATTAGTAGGGTTATAACTAATTGTATGTACAGTTAAGGTAATGCATTATTAAGTACAGGAATAGGTGGAAGTTAAGGTATAGAGTTAGGTGTAGAGTTAGGCTTAAGTGTAATGGTTAGGTTAGGTGTAGAATTAGGCTTAGGTGTACACTTTGGGTTAGGTGTAAAGTTTGAATTAGGTGTATAGTTAGGCTTAGGTGTACAGTTTGGGTTAGGTAAAAAATGTTAACATTAGATGGAGAGTTAGGTGTAGGGTTAGGTTTGGTGTAGAAATAAGTTTCTATTTTGGGGTTAGGTATAGAGTTAGGTGTAGGGTTAGGCTTAGGTGCAGAGTTTGGGTTAGGTGTAAAGTTAACATTAGTTGGAGAGTTAGGTGTAGGGTTAGGCTTAGGTGTAGAGTTTGGGTTAGGTGTAAAGTTAAGATAAGGAGTAGACTTCGGTGTAGGAATAAGTTCTATTTTAAGTATAGAGTTAGAGTATATGTAGACGAAATCCTTTTACATGGTATACGATCCAGCCGTAGCTATTTAGCCCAAAACTTGTGCTGTGTCATATGCCCAGCTTCTATGTTGTAATGCCCACCTGTCTTGTAATGCCCACCTGTCTTGTAATGCCCACCTGTCTTGTAATGCCATAATCCTGTCCTGTAATGCCCACCTGTCTTGTAATGCCCACCTGTCTTGTAATGCCCACCTGTCTTGTAATGCCCACCTGTCTTGTAATGCCCACCTGTCTTGTAATGCCCACCTGTCTTGTAATGCCCACCTGTCTTGTAATGCCATAATCCTGTCCTGTAATGCCCACCTGTCTTGTAATGCCCACCTGTCTTGTAATGCCCACCTGTCTTGTAATGCCCACCTGTCTTGTAATGCCCACCTGTCTTGTAATGCCATAATCCTGTCCTGTAATGCCCACCTGTCTTGTAATGCCCACCTGTCTTGTAATGCCCACCTGTCTTGTAATGCCATAATCCTGTCCTGTAATGCCCACCTGTCTTGTAATACCCACCTGTCTTGTAATGCCCACCTGTCTTGTAATGCCCACCTGTCTTGTAATGCCCACCTGTCCTGTAATCCCCACCTGTCTTGTAATGCCCACCTGTCCTGTAATGCCCACCTGTCTTGTAATCCCCACCAGTCTTGTAATGCCCACTTGTCTTGTAATGCCCACCACCTGTATTGCAGCTGTCTAGAACACTCCTGCTGGTCCGCGCCTTACCGAGTTTGCTATGCCTGTCCTACCTCAGCATCTCCTTGCCGCTGCGGTTCGGCATCGCCTGCTACAGAGGCCAGTATGTCCTGCCAGCTGTTGACCTACCCCCAACGACGGAGACCCTGGAGGACATCAAGGAGTCCTACCAGGGTGCCCATGTCAGGGCGCTGCTGAAAAAACCTGAACAGAACAAGTGAGTGAAGTTGTCTACCTATTGTTACCCCCTAATTCTATTTGTCGTGCATAACACGCTTGGCTTAAGCAGAGGCGTAGCGACCCTTCCCGGCGCCCGGGGACAAACTTTCGATTTGCACCCCCCCCCCCCCTCAAACTTTCGATTTGCCCCCCCCTAAGGTCGGCGCCCGGGGACATATGTCCCCCCCCTCGCTATGCCTCTAGGCTTAAGTGGAAGAATTGGTATAGCGGTAGAACGCACGCTCGGTACCCTGATGAGTGGCCTTCGATCGATCTACCCCCCCCTCCCCCTCCACCTCCATGTCTAAACTGGTATGTGCGGTACACACTAGAAGGAAAGAAAAGCCTAGTGAGAACCCAATGTCAATAACTACACAATATTTTGGCACGTTATTTTCCTCTCGCTTTGGCATTTACTTTGCTACTAGCCATCTTACCAGAATCCCCCCCCCCCACCCCCAAAACAATCGATCACACAACTTTGCTACCAATACTCGACATTAGGGTAAATAACATAACACGAAGCTTACAGCAACTAAGTCTCACCAACTCAATTGATCTATGCTATTTCAAACTCAGGCCTAACTCAGATCTATCTTATTTTTTACTTTTTTACGTAGCCCCATCTTATTTCTAACTCAGACCTTATTTCTAGCTTAGCCCTAACTTACTTCTTACTTAGACCTAACTTATTTCTTTACTTAGACTTAACTTAGCTCTAATATCCATATATTGAGCGGCTGATACCATTGGTATGAGAGATTGTCTATTCATTCTGCTGTCTGTCTATTCATTCAGCTGCCATCTACTAGCTCAGGGGTCTCCAAACTTTTCAGTCCGAGGGCCGCATTAACTATAAAATTTCAATTCGGGGGCCAGTTTCTACCATGCATGTCATTGATTTTTCTGGGTAAATTTTCTCAGCCATCACCAACAAACGTTTTTTTCCGTGGACAAAAAGATCTCCGCGGGCCGGATGAGAGGACATCGCGGGCCGCATCCGGCCCGCGGGCCGTAGTTTGGAGACCCCTGTACTAGCTAATGAATATTTTTCAAGAAGAAATAGGGGACATATACGGCTGTTTTTGTGGATTTCACTGAAAAGATGAAAACTACTTAGGAATCGAAACAATCGAGTTAAGACAATTCTACTGTCAATTCAGTATTTGCTCATCATTATTTGTTTTCTATACAATGCATATTAGAATACTACTTTTTCAAACAATTTTTTTTTTTAAATTTAGAAATTTTAAAATTTCCTCCACGTAGGCCTATTTATGCATGTATGAATACACAACAAGAAAGAACTAAAAATCCCAAATATCCTACACACATTCTTCATATTTTTAGCTCAAGCTCAACACAGCGCAATACGCAGCTCAGTGAGTCATGCCATCACGGAAAATTAGATAAACCTTTTAACCAGCATCCGACAATCGATACTTCTAAAAATAAGTTATTACGTCCCCTTGTAACTTCACTTCGGATGTTGATAGAACAGAATTCATTCCCTTGAATTAGGTTATCTAACTTGTTTGTCCATGTTGTGTATCAAGTGGAATAAATGCTTTTTCTATTTTTCTGAAATACGTGTTACGAGCTGACCCGCGAAGTAGCAGAGTTGTTTTATTTTCTACTTATCAACAATTCATAATTTGTGAATTCGAAACTACCCCACCCCCCTGCCTCACCCACTCACTCACCCCACCCCCCACCCAAACCACGCCCAGTGAACGCTGCCGTTAACAGACGACAATGAAAATATCAAGCAAAACGTATTAATAGCCGTCACTTATTCCAGCTCTACTATTGTAAACATTCGGGGTGAACAATAGTGCACCTGCCAGTGGTAGCGATATGCCTAGAAAGCGGGGTATGGGCGGCTAAGCTGCGTGGTGTCTCCTATGGTCCCCATGCAGAGAACTATGTATTTAGATAGTAGCATCATTCAATTAGTAAAGAAGACTTTCATCAATACACACAAATCTTAATTTAAAGCTGGGTAAACTAAAAAGCCATGATGATTTCGTTGATTGAATTTTGTTTTTATTCTTGAGATCTTGCATTATTTTATTAAATATTGTAAACATTGGTTAAAACACCCTTAAGAATTCGGAGTCCCTAGGGGTAGGTACAGTATATTTCACTTGTTTCTGTGACCTTGAATGGATAGTGTAGCTAAGAAAAAACATAGACGACTTTGTTTTTACAAAGGAATCGAGCCAGCGATCCGAAATCTAGCATTGTTTTGTGTACGTATATATATATATATATATATATATATATATATATATATATATATATATATATATATATATATATATATGTATATATATATATGTATGTATATATATATATGTATATATATATATATATATGTATATATATATATATATATATATATATATATATATATATATATATATATATATATATTATGATGATAATCTTTTCGCATATTTATTTGTTTAGAGCAGTGTTTGGTTTAAAGAACAAGATAAAAGGAATGATTGTCAACAAGTTTAATGAGCTTATATATCACAAACAGACAGGTAGGTGAAGTAGTTTTATGTCAAGTTTTTTATTGTATTTTGTTACGTGCGGTTTGCACACATTTTGCACCCAACACCTCAGCATGTATACAGCTGTATAAGAATTATGTTTATTTTTATTTTGTCCTTTTTCGGACCTGGCGACCTACGTGCAGGTGAAGTAGAGCTCATATATTTCTATTACCTTAGTATATGAACCGATAATGTCAGCACTATGCCCAGCCACCTTCACTTTCAGTCAGGTACCCATCAGAGCTAGATAGACTTAGGGAAATGCTAATTCTCTAGCCAAACACCAGAGCTCGAGACAACAGTCGACTACTCTACTCTTTGACCTCCCTTTCCCATAACAACTCTATAGTCTTACGCAGATTTTAAATAATTTCAAATTAATAAAAACAAAAACTAAATAAACTCGGCTTTAGAGCAACACATAACATAAAATAGTGCAAAAGTACAAACCCCCCCCCCTCCACCCCCAAATATTTTACATAATATTTCCATATGTTGTGAATATCACCAATCTCTAACTCAGATAACAAAAGAATAAAACATGTTAAATTTATTTTTTATTTTTTTTTATTTTTTTTTGTTCTTTTTTCCTATTAATTTATTAGTTAAATGTCATAGTTTTATTTGTCAGATTGATTATTTCATTTGTTTTTAACTTTTTATAAAATTTGGCATATAAAAAACATGTAATTTTTTTTTTCTTCAGGCTTTAGATATTCATCACGTCTAATGTCGGTGATGTTTGTAGCTACCTGTGTCATTTATGTGGTATGTATATTTTTTTGTTTGACCCAATCGTCACAAATCACCATAATAAGCTACACTATTCCCCCCTCCCTCCCACTTCTAAAACTACGTGACACCTCATTTTATAACCCCTCTTCCCACAATATTGCAGTGATTTTTATTTTTTGAAACATCGATTTCTTTCTAAAACATTTCCTCTGCACTGTCAACATTAAGTATATTCAACAATTTCTATTACAGTTAACAAAACACAGTGCTAACTAACTCGTATTAAAATGCAAAAGTGTATGTTCTTATTTTCTGACCCCCACCCACCGCCTTTTACACATTGTCGCATCTTTTAAGTGAGGCGTCTTTTATGGACGACACTAAAACCAATCAAGATTGGAAACTTATTTAGTGTGGTTAGGTTTTGTAGATAATTATTTCTTCAAACAATAGTCTGCCCAAGAAATGTGTTTAAAAATCCCTTTTTCCATTCTCTGGCACCTAACCTACATTTTGTTTTCCTCGGCATCCTAAAGTAAAATTGTGTTTATACGATTTTTTTGGGTATAATTTTTACATAGGCCTACATTAAATAGAGGTAAAGCGTTAGACTTTTAACCCGAAAGTCTCTAGTTCGGATCCGGGTTCAAATCAGTCCCTGAGTCCACCCAAGGAAGATAAAGCATCCCAGCCATGCTTTCTCTTCATACGCTGACATTAAAGAAACAGATGAACTCTACTTCACAAGTGTTTCTTCAAGACTTTTTTCTCCTTAGGGGCACTTGACATTTTCGTGGGGCCGGACTAAAATTTCCGGGGGGGGGGGGGGCAAACACTGTTAAAAGAATATATTTTCTATATAAAATCCATTTCGTTCGGGGGTGGGGGGGTGGGGAGGTAGTAGATGGATGAAACTCTGTACTTCACTCCCCCCCCCCCCACACACACACCCTGGAACCGTCAGGGACTATTACATTTAATAGGTTGTTTTATTTTTTTCCCTGCAGCTTACAGTAGAGATACTCGTCAGGCTTATAATCCTGTTCTCAATGATGACGGATATCATCGAATCATTGCTGGGATTTTTGGACGACGAAGAAAGCGACGAGGAGAGCGCTGCGGAAGAAAATCTTGAGCTGGCAAAAACTCTGTCTGACATTCTCCTATGTATGATATTTTCTCGGTTATGGTTCCTACTTTTAAGTTTTAATTAATTATCAGTTTTTATATATTTATTTATTTGTAAATACACCCTACATTGTAAGCATTGGATTGATTCGACAGTATAAAAATAATCATTAATTTTGTTTTGCATTTATACAGTTGGTCGGTAATTTTAGCACTTTCAGCAAAACAAGAGGACAATTATATACTGTAAATAATGTAATCTTTTAGCAACACTAGAAGAAAATGATGTTCTACTGTAAACATTGTAATCATTTACCTACAGGGTCTTTAATAGTGGCCATTAGTCTGGCATGTATCACCAGTATAATAAATATCTTACACATGATGTCATCTTTCAGGTAAGTAAAGCTTTCAAAGGTGACTAATTTGTCTTCTTTTTTTTTAAATTAGTATATAATTTTTTTTATAATATAACTATATATATATATATATATATATATATATATATATATATATATATATATATATATATATATATATATAAATGTCACACACACACAGATGTATATCCCTCTGCATGTTACACATCTCTCTCTCTCTCTCTCTCTCTCTCTCTCTCTCTCTCTCTCTCTCTCTATATATATATATATATATATATATATATATATATATATATATATATATATATATATATATATATATATATATATAGCCAGACTAATCTCTCTATTTTTTTGTAATTAAACCAAATCTAACAAATCAGTATGTTAGAAAAGAAAGTGTTGATTATCTTTTTCAAAACTACACAGCAGTCTATTTTAACCAAATCCTTTGTATACAGACATTAAGGAAAAAATAAATATTTAAATTTTAAAAATTTGAAGCTATATCCGTCTAATTTTATGTATATATGTTTGTATGTATGTATGCATATATTGAATTTTTATTTTCAGAACAAATTTGTATGCCCTGTACAGAGGAGATAACAGTCACATCCCACCAGCCTCTACAAAGAGTGCTCCCTCTTTGTGTGTAAGTTGCTGTATTCCCTACAACGATTGTCCCATTATTGTCTATGTTGTACTAGTAACTTATTTCATATATAATTTGTTTGGATAATACCATCATTCATGTGTACATGTCTACTGTATCTACAGCTAGGTAGCATCAAGTATGGAGGGTTTCAAGTGGCCTACATAGTGTGGGGTGAGTAGCCTACATTGTGTGGGGTGAGTAGCCTACATAGTGTGGGGTGAGTAGCCTACATTGTGTGGGGTGAGTAGCCTACATAGTGTGGGGTGAGTAGCCTACATTGTGTGGGGTGAGTAGCCTACATTTTGTGGGGTGAGTAGCTAGCCTACATTGTGTGGGGTGAGTAGCCTACATTGTGTGGGGTGAGTAGCCTACATTGTGTGGGGTGAGTAGCCTACATTGTGTGGGGTGAGTAGCCTACATTGTGTGGGGTGAGTAGCCTACATTGTGTGGGGTGAGTAGCCTACATTGTGTGGGGTGAGTAGCCTACATTGTGTGGGGTGAGTAGCCTACATTGTGTGGGGTGAGTAGCCTACATTGTGTGGGGTGAGTAGCCTACATTGTGTGGGGTGAGTAGCCTACATTGTGTGGGGTGAGTAGCCTATATTGTGTGGGGTGAGTAGCCTACATTGTGTGGGGTGAGTAGCCTACATTGTGTGGGGTGAGTAGCCTATATTGTGTGGGGTGAGTAGCCTACATTGTGTGGGGTGAGTAGCCTACATTGTGTGGGGTGAGTAGCCTATATTGTGTGGGGTGAGTAGCCTACATTGTGTGGGGTGAGTGGCCTACATTGTGTGGGGTGAGTAGCCTACATTGTGTGGGGTGAGTAGCCTACATTGTGTGGGGTGAGTAGCCTACATTGTGTGGGGTGAGTAGCCTACATTGTGTGGGGTGAGTAGCCTATATTGTGTGGGGTGAGTAGCCTACATTGTGTGGGGTGAGTGGCCTACATTGTGTGGGATGAGTAGCCTACACCACTGTAGAGAGTTTTACTCACTAACTAATTGAAAAATTAACTACTTTCCTTGCTATTCTTTGGATACATTATTCAGCTTTTCCCGTTCGTGCCTTACTCACATGGAGCAGATGAAGTAGAGTTTTCAAGAACACGACATAGAGAGGGATAATGTAGTCAGCCACAATGTTTCCCCTAACTGGGTCAAGTACTAAATAAAGCTGGGTGGATTCAGGAACGCTCTATAGAATCCCAGGATTCGAACTCGAGACTTTCGTTTTAGCTTTCGATAACACGATCGTTCGACTGAGGCATCCCATGTTACATTACCACATGTGTAAAAAAAATCACATTTTATCTGTGTGTAAAATCTGTAATTTAAGCTTGTAGTAAGATCATCCATTTGTCTACAGCGTGCATTTTGTGTTTTAGCATGTTACAATTAATGCTGAATATGCTCGGTAGAAATCTTTGTTTAATTTTAACAAATACAAGCCTATCACAGTTCAGTACTTTGTATATTTATTTTATTCTCCTCATCATATGCTTTGAAAACTGAATCTTTCGATGAAAAGATCAATGATTTCATATCATGTCTTCCAAAAGCTTACCTGATCAGCAGTGTCATCCTGTTCATAATCTGTCTGATTGTTGCTGTATTTATACTGGTACTTATGGAAGGCTACACTGATTGGCTAGTTAACAAAGTGCTACAAGTATGGTAAGTTTTAGTCTCAAAGGCTTTTACTTATGTCAAGATGTCTCGTATAGGTGGGATTGTGGTAAAAATATGTAGGCCTAACTTAGTCTTTACCAATTTATGTCGTTGTTTTTTTTTTTATAAAGGTATGTTAGTAACATAAATCAGATATCAAAGCACTGAAGGTGTCGACTAAAGAAAATGTGGTTCTCATCTACTAGACTAATTTTAAAATTAAAATAGTTTAAACTATAATTTTATCAAAAGGCCCATTGTTAACAGTCAAAACTATGACCTAAACAAACAGGTACATTTAAAAATGTTACTCTGAATAAGAGTCCCATTGTTAACAGCTAAATCTTTAACTTTCAAGAATAGGCCCATTGTTAACAATTAAAACTATAAATTTCGAGAATATGCCCATTTTTAACTGTTAAAGCTGATCTTTTCAACAGGCCCAGTGTTCTCGTGGCTATTGGTCTGGTGATTGTTCAAAAACTGCTGGCCACTTTTTTGTTTCTTCAAGATCGTGGTCAACACTTGCGTTTGGACAACAGGTGAGTATTTTGTTACAGGTGTGTTGGTTACACGTGGGTTGATTACAGGTGTGTGTGTGTTACAGGTGAGTCTCAGTTACTTGTATCTATTACGAGTGAAGGGTTAAAGTTAAGTAACAGAAGAACTTGTCAGAACATTCAATGACAATGTTTTACTATAACCATCCCAGGAATTTCTTCTTCATCTTCACCTACTTCATGTTCTTCTACAACATCTTCCTGGGACTGGTTTCCTGCCTGTTAAGAATAATCAAAGCCATGATGGTTGGGACGCTATTTTTAGCTCGACTCGATAACAGCACCTTGCCCCGGAAATTTGAATTTTTCGACCCAGGTTTGGCTTTTTAAAGCACTCTTTGATTTAAATGTTTAAATTTAATATTAATATTTTTCCGAATAATTTTTGGCCTATTCACAGTACCCTAAATTAGTATACATTAGCTACTTATCTTAATAATACATATTAGGCTATTGGGGTATCTTTTTACTACATTAAATTATCTTGAAATATTCCAAATTTATGAGCATTTAGATACTTAAAACTGTAAAATATTTAAGTTTTTCAAAATTACATTAACGTATTAAACTACTAATTTATAGTTCTTTTTTTTGTGTCGTTTAATGTTTTAAATGAATGTTATTTATTTACTGTTCAGTGTCTTTAATATTATCAACTACTTTTTAAAATTACTGTAAGAACAATATTTTTTTAATTGAATTTAAAACGTTTAATATTTTTATTTTATAAAAAAAACAGTCGTATTTTTATTTCTTCCAATTTTGTGAATATAAAAGATTTTTGTCATCTAAAATTTCGCTTATCTTTTACACATAGAAGAAAGTTAATCTACTTTATCTTTAAGCGTTCTTCTCAATATTTTTTACAATGTCTTTGAACAGGCTTTGCAGCTTATCAGGGCTACATACACATGGAGGCGGCCCACACCCACCCAGTAGTGAATGTGTTCCTTAGACTCCTCATTAGCTTAAGCAAGTCACGTGCCACCCAGAAAGAGAAATACAGTCTCGTCGATATGCCAGATGCTGATGACACAACAAAGTTGGAGTTGAAAGCCAGTGAGGCAATTGGTATGGCTGTTAAATGAAATCATAAAATTTCCTTCTGTAAAGATTTACTTTAGTTCTTTAGAAATTTTATTCTCTGAAAAGAATTTTAGTTCGTAAACTATCAAATTAATGTCACAGAAAAATTAATCTAATATTAAATCACAAATAGAATCTTTATAATATGAAATATTTTTTAAAAGTTTAGTTTATTCACAATATAATGAATATTATATTTTCTGTTTTTAATATTTAAAAAAAACGCTAATTATTATTTTGATGATAAACTATACAATTGGACTTTAATTAATGATCTATCAAATCAATGTCACATACAAATGTCAATTTTATATCCCAAATAAAAATACCATATAATAAAATAATATATATCATTTTTTGTAAGATTCTGTTTGTCACCATAAAACAAATATTATATGTTATATATGTAACGAAAAGGCTAATTGTTATTTTCATGAAAATGGAATTTAATTTGCAACCTTTCATATTTATATCACAGAAAAAAAATCATTTATTTCCCAAATACTATTTTCATATAGGCATACATAATGTTTTTATAATGGATTCTTTTAGTCCCATTATAACGAAGATTATATTTGTAATAAAAAAGCTAATTGCTATTTTAATTTATAAACTAGATAAACGACCAGTGAATATTGCTGCAAGGTTTAACTGGCACGTCACCTACACACTTCTGCATAACCCAACTGTAAGTTCACCCTAATAGACCTATGACCACTTTTTTTCAAGTTTTGTTTAGTATTATATATTCTACTCATTATATTCTTTAGTAAGTTCAAGTTAGAACATAGTAGTATAGAGTTACAAAATTAAACTTAGAAAATCTCTATTACTTAGTATTTTGTTTACTGCTTGCAAGTTAAATTGAATAATATCGATCAATTTTTTCACAAGTTTTCAACAATAATTTTAAATATTGCACATTATATTAGTTTTACCTAATTATTTCCAATTATGACTCATTATTGCACCACAGGTGAGACTCTACAGAAAGGGATTCATGCAAGCTTTAAAGATAGCACAAAGGGACGGCTTGAAGGTTCCTATTAGTGACAAGCCTATAACAAACTTCGACCTTGTGAAAACACAAGAAGAACGAGAGAAGGAAAGACAAGAGGAAATACAAAGAATCCAGTCTGAACAACAAGGAAAGAAAGATGGCTTTTCTATTCTAAATTTCAAGAAAAACATCAACAGTAACTCTGGTCAAAAAGAGGGGAAGTCAAAAAAGAAAGGGCTGAGTTGGTTCAGGGGGAAGAAAAACTCAGAAGAAACACAAACGTCTGTGAGCTTTGATGAGAAAGAAAGTGAAAACCTAGAGAAGCAAACTGTAGCCTAAATAATTCTTAAAAATTAATAATTCATGTATATTAATAATTTTATGTGAAATTACACATTTTAAATCTGCTATACGCTGTAAAATGTGGTTTGTATTGTAATTATTTATGTAGGCTTAAGGTAAGAATTATACAATTTCTAATACGTGTTAAATGTTATAAAAATGTGTTGCTTATTAAGAAAGAAATTATTTTTAAAAATACTATTTAACTTCAAGAATTATTATAACTCATCTGTAAATAGCTTATATATCTTTAATAGACATTCATTATTTTATGTGGTAATCAGTTAAACCATATGACCTAAGCTTATTGGTTTCCTTCTACCTTATTTACAAAGGGATTTTACTTGGACTTATTTTTTTATGGATCACAAAAAGTTTAGCCTGACAAGACAGACTACTGTAAACAAAAAACTAAACACAATTTTACTAATATTTAATCTATGAAGAACAAATATTTTAGGAAGATGGTTGTCGTAGCAAAATATGTAGTCAAAATGAAATAGCTTTCTATAAAACTGTAAACTAGTGTAACAAGGTCAAGTAACTGGAGCAGGGCGTTGGGTACAGTGTAACAATTAGCGTAAGACTTTCTGCTAAAATATCGTCCCATTTAAAACAATATTACAATGTTTTGTGTTAATTGTTAGATTCAACGTTTAATCTGAAATTCAAACCTTTTAATAAAAAAAATAGCTTAATTTATCTAATTTAAAATTTAAATAACTTGGAGTTTAAACTCCAAGTTATTTAAATTTTAAATTAGGTAAATTAAGCTATTTTTTTTTTATTAAATGCATTGTCAGTAATATTTGATAATTTTTTTCTGTATAGTTAGGAAACATCTGTTCAAGTAATTGTATAATATTATAACTCAATTTTTTTTACAGTAGACCTACCTCTGCATAATCTTTTTGAAAAATGTTCACATGAACATTAAGTTCATCTACTATATTTCATTCTTTTAAAAAATGTGCTTATATTTTGATATTTTGATAGCATATATTATAATATTTGGCCTTATTTACAAGTGGCAACTATTTTTTTATTAGTAGTTTGAAAAATATGGCTTAATGTCAGCGCTAATTAGGACTATTTACATATCTACACTGTTTGTCGAAAGAAATCATATACTTTTTAAGATAAATAATGTTGTTTTTTTACTGAATACCATAATTCATGATCTCATTCGCATTAGGCTATAATTGTTGCCTTGATAGTGAATTGCAGTTTTTCATTAAGTCTACCCAAAATCGTTGACAAACAAAGGGAGTTTACTCTATATTTAACAGGTGAATTAATCGAACTATTTACCACTGTTGTTACTGTTCTACGGGGAGGTATTAATTTGAATGCGTGAATCAAATAATTTTACAGTATTTTTAGTGGGTTATCAATATACCCGGTGGAAACTCGTTTTAGTGAGTAAATTAAATAGATATGAAAAAACTATAAATATTTAGAGATACATGCATAATATGTACTCTGACAATTGCTGTAATGTACTGTAGTGTTTTTTTCTTTCTCGTATATACAAAGTATAGAGAAAGTCTTTTAATCGTAAAAAAAAATCGAGATATTTGCAAATCTTTACGTTTTAGGGCTCCCTGAGTTGGAAAACCATAGTTTTCCGATCTTGTCCGTATGTCTTTGTGTATGTGTGTCTGTTTGTGTGTGTGTGTGTGTGTGTGCAAACACGATAACTTGAGTACCGTTACAGCTAGGTTAATGAAATTTAATATATAAGTATTATATCGAAATCATAGATCAGTATCAACTTTTCAGCGATTTCCGATAACCGGAAGTGGAACTTTTTCTACTTTGAATTTTTCAAAAGCCTATAACTTGAGTACTATTTCAGATAGATACATGAAATTTCACACGTAGGTAAAAAATCTAATTCTCTGACATCTATCAAATTTTTAGTAATTTCCGTCGACCGGAAGTAGTGATCTACGCTATTTCCGATTTCTCAAAAAAACGCATGTGAATTTATAAAGTACTAATAATATCCCGCATTCTTATGCACATTTTATTTGGCGTTCACTTGGTGTGCCATTCTTTTTTTACGAGATTCTATTCTATTATAACAAGTTTAAGTAATTAAAAATGGATTTAAAATATTGCCTATATCCCGAGTTGCCATCCCCCCGTGAGGTTATTTTAGAATATTCGAAAGTTTAGGGGAAATCACTCCCGGTTTATTTTTTCATGTAAATCACTTATTATTAATACATAAAATGTATAAAATATAATGAAAAAAATACTTTTTAGGAAGAGCATTAGAGAAATAGCTATTTGAAAAAGAAGAATGTTTTATTTGAAGTGTCTTATTTTAATCTACATATCATTGATGCCGCTTAATATATTATAACCTTTTCAGTTAATCTCATATTTGATTAAGATCTAGTTATAAGACCAAGTCTCAATCCAAAAAAAAGTCCCTACTATTTATTTTATCTCCTCAGAAATCTCAATCTCCATCAAACATCTAAATTGTCAAAGTAGGAATAAAATTGAAATTAAATGAATTGTATTATGTATAAAAACAACTTCAATGCACACGTTAAAAGAAGTATTACTAGTCTATAGTAAATCTATATAAGTTTTCACAAGCCGATGATGAAAACTGTAATACTTAAGTGAACATGGCAAGACAAACTGACCCTGTAAGTTCTATGTTGGAGGCAAAAAATATCTACATTTATAGGACTATAGTATACATGTTATATTTTATATAAACACATATTATATATTTGTCAAACAAATTTATTTCATTATATATATATATATATATATATATATATATATATATATATATATATATATATATATATATATAATTCTTTTGCATTTAAAGTACAAGACCAGTAGCTACTTTTATTCAATTAATTATAATTTATACGTGTAGGAATTGTGTATCGATAATCATGCTCAAGTTCGATGACCAATTTTTTTACATAATTATTATTTTTGACATGTAATAGCACAACTAGTTTGTTTGATATTAAACCAATTAATTATAATGTTTTTGCTATTGGTGTCACTTTTTCATAGATCAATAATTCAAAAATGAAATATACACTGTTTATAAAACGATTAGTTTACTGTTAAACGTTACATTAATATGAAAATTATCACTTTATCAAGAATATGATGTAGAGTTATGTAGAGTTTACACAAAATAAGTTTGGGCTTTCATTGCTATGCTCAGAGGGTGATGTCGCATTAATATGTTACTTTGTTTTATACAAAATAAAAACTAATACAACAGCAGATTTTAAAATTATGTGTTTCAATATAAAAATTTAAACTAAAAAACAGGTTTTCATACCTATACCACCACTAACGTCTTCTAGCTCTCCTCGATTTTTGCTAAGCTAAATCCCTTATACCCCAATCCTTACTGCTCCCAATCCCTGTTACCACAATCCCTGCTACCCACAATTCCTCCTGTCATAATACTGTATCCCACAATCCTGAAGCAAGAACCTGCCTTATAATTTGTTATACCCCCTCCTACTTTCATTACCAATTTTATATTAAATACCTATGAGGAGTATAATACATTTGTTTGTGTAATAACCCGACCTTGTATTAATTTTATTTCAATTTTACAATAAGTAATGCCTTACATAATTTGCTTTAGCAAAAACTTATTTTACATTTGCATTTGCAGATTTATTTAAAGTCTTGTGTGTGATATTCGAATTCGTTTCAGAAATTCATTGTCCTGTGCTGTTCTACGCCAGGCTACGACTCGTAGTTTTATGATGTTGATTTTATGTAAATAAAAAGTTTTATGTACATCTTTCAAATAGATTAGTCACTTTCCTGTACATTATACTGTATATGTTAATTAAAATGAGAACAAATAGAATTGATTAATAATTAAGAATTTTAGTTGTGATATTATTGTCTCCTTTTTCTAACTTTTCATTTTCAGATTTTTTAAAAAATTTTTTTTACAACTGTGTGTTTTAAATAGGATTTGTGAAAGAAACAACAGACAAAACATTATCATGAAATAAAACTAAAACATTTTGCTTTTAAATTTGTTGTTATTTTGTAGTACAAAGCTAGTGGTAAAATTTTGCTACTAGTGATGTGTTGTGGTAATAGTCGAAAGCTGCTACTGTTATGTTGTGGCAATAGTCGAAAGAAGTGCCGTACATCATGAAAGCCCACTACATATCTAGCGGCTTCTCGAGATATGGTCTTTGATGTTTTTCTTTGAAGAATTTTGCCGACGACAGCGTGTGCTTATTCTGTAGGGGGAAATAGAACTCGGCCTTGGCAATGGTGAAAGAAAATATAACTATAAATAGCTTTATATATATATATATATATATATATATATATATATATATATATATATATATATATATATTTGGAGACAATTTTCGAACCCCCTATTTGGTCCCCACCCCCTGACCTATCCCGCCACAGTACACTTTGTAGGACCAATCGAACAGTTATAATGCCAATGTGTAAACGTGTTACGTGCCCCCTAGTTGGCTATCAAAGGGGAGCAGCGACTCACAGAAGTCATTACAAATCTGAAGTTTTTCCTATATTTAATCTACAGTTTGTGTATTGGATTTTGATGTTTGCGGAGGAACGTGGTATAGTAACTGTAAAATAAAGAAATCGTGCCGCAGCTACAGTAAAATTTTAATACAAACCAAACATCAAGGCTGAAATTCGCGAAAATTAAAATTTAAATTTGTGCGGGTGTCAGACGTCATGACAGGTTCGCCCCTGAACAGAAGGCTATGTCTATTGATAATCCTGTTCTAGTTCGATGACAAATTGTTTAATCTAATCAGTTTTCTAGAAATGTAAAAACACAATTAATTTGTTTAAAAAAGTGAAGGAAAAAGATAAACCATTTAATTTTTACTTTCTACAGTTGCGGAACTAGAAAAAGCCCCCCCCCCCACCCTGCCGCAGAGTTTCTTTTTTGGCTCCTATATATATATATATATATATATATATAT